TCCATAGTAACTGGTACCACAGTGGAAGAACACAGTCTCACCCAGTGGGAACGAAGCTGCCAAACTGGACAGGATGAGCAGCTGGAGGTGGGACATCATCTGTGGGACCATCCAGACTGAGACACAGGAACACATGCATCTCACTTCAAAACTCCTGGAGAATTGTGGTGAAACCCCCGCTCAGCTTCAAACATGGCATCAGCTGGTTAAGTGTGTTAATAAGAAAACTTTACAGAGAAAAAAAGGTCATTTTTTAAAAAACTTCCCATAGATATATGTGCAAAAAAGTAGTCTATAAAACTGAGTTCATAGCTTTAGGATGAAAAAAATATATATACAAATGTATTTTATATATTTGAATATAATGACTGGTGTTTTTGAAATATATTAGAGGGAAAAATAAAAATTCCTTCCACAATAATAATACAATACAATGGGCCCTGGTTTCATTATGAGTAACTGTAGAAAATAAATATTAGCCAGAATAAGACAATCGAGTTTGAAGAACTAAAGAGAATAGCGGTAAATGTATCTAAGTTCTATGACTGGGCTGAGAACCAACCTTTGAACATGTCTGTGTCGTACAACAGGTAACTGAAGGTCAGTGACCCGGTGGTTGAAGTGTGGGAAATCAATTAAAATACCTCATATACATTGACCTGGTTTGACTAGGACTATGACTTCTTAAAGAAAAGACTAACACTAAACTTGCTTGGATTAACGTTGAATCAGAATCCAGTAAATATATTCAGCAGATGATTTTGAACTGTAGTCTCCATGTCTCTTGCTCGATTCCGAATGCCCCACCCTTTTCTCGCTGCTTCTTTCCTATTATGGTTGTGAGTTTGCGGCACCACAGCGAGATCAGCTTTGTCCTCTTCAGTCCCTTGAATCTCTGAATAACCCATCCACTTTATAGAGCTCACACCATGACCCACCACTCAATGGAAGTGACATGAAAAGAGGCTGCGGACCTTTATACTGTGAAGATCAGTTATTGGCCCCTGATTGGACGGCCAGCCGTCTGATCATATAGGCTTTCATGATCCTCAGTATGACCATGTAAGGGGACAGTTTTTAGCTGTTTGTTCTAGGAATGTTGAATTTTCCTAAACACACCAGTTTGCCCATATGTTATTAGCATCAAAGTGAGTTTAAACTGCATAGTTTAACACTATACTGTGAATTGTCTATGAAGATTCTCAGTCATCCAGGTCATAAGAAGCCTCTTGGATGAGAGGTGAAACGTCTTCTTTTAGAAAATTCACGTCCAGTTGCCTAACAGAACTTTTTAAAACTTTACTGTGAATTATACATTGTACTTATACGGGATTATTTTTGTCCAAATTGAAGTATGCTGTAAACAGTAAGTTGCAAGTTGCTCTTGTTTATTTTTTATTGCTTATCATTACCATTAGTGTAATGCAAGTTTTAAGACATTTTTTTCCCAACATTTTACTTTTTTAATGTACATCTTGTCTCTTTCATCAATTCTTTTTATTTACTATTATTTTTACTTTTTTTTCTGTTTTATTTAACATGTGGCTCATTCTTTTATCAGAGTTTTTTTTTTTTTAGTCAGACCAAAAAGTTAATTAAAAACTTTTGATTGGAGTCACATTTATCATAACTGTTTGCATGAAGACCAGTTTGGCAGCTCGTGAAATAGCGGAACCAAAGTCACATCATTATTAAACCTGTTGGATACAGGAATCCTGCAGACATTAGTGCATTAATCGTCGACTCGGAGCATCAGTGAATTGTGTGAGAAGAGCTAATGGCTAGTTATACTCAGGGTCTGTGGGTGTATTTGTTTGACTCACACCAGACCATTTTATACTGTTTTGCATTTCATTAATATGATTTAGCACCCACACTTTTAATCACTCCAAATCAAATGCAGCACAGAGTCTGCTTCACAACGCATTCCATACTTTTACTCTGTCATTTATACAAGTAAATAATAATATTATCATAATTTTAACATGCACTGTACTGTACAATGCTCAGTAAATAATGATAGACATGGTTTAGAAAATTAGTGCATATGAGAAATATGTTTTTGTAATATATCCTCAGAAAACAATTATTCAGGAAAACATTACACTGACCACTGTACTTTGTTTCTACTGATGAACACAAAATAATAATAATAATAATTTAGTTCATTTTCTCTTCAGTGGAGCCACTGCAATATACTGTACAGTGTGAATGGATGAGGGCTGCATTTGCATCTGATTGAAAATGGAAAGGTACAAAGAGCCCAGCACAGTAGAAACAAAAGTGATCAGAAGCAGACAAAAAAAAGAAAAGAAAAGATTTTAGTCATTCGTGATATAGAACTACACCAAACAGATACATCACTTATAGGAGATCACTAACAGTTTTGATACTTACTCTATTCTTGGGTTGACTTCTTACAACTGATCTGGTCTCGGTCAGTTGCTGCTTTTCCGATGCTTCTGATGTTGCAGCCTCGCAGATGCAGATGAAAACAGAGAGAGAGAGCAACAAGCTGTAGCAGCTCACAATGAACCTCCCCTACCTCACACACACACACACACACAATCCTTTGGTTTGGGTACTTTACATAGTAATGCCTTTCTAACCCCTTATCCCAACCTTAATTATTTGAATTTTACAACTCATCCTAATACTTATCCGTACTCTAATCTGACTCTAATTTTAACCCCAACTCCTAACTTAACATTGAATAGTTTTCACTCAGTGGGTTCCTGCAAAATGTCCCCACAAAAATAATACTTACCTCCAACCATCCATCCATTTACATCCACTTATCCGTTACTGGGTCGCGGGGGCAGCAGTCTCCACGACCGCCACCCAAATCACACTGCACCGTACCAACCCCCCCTGAACCTTCCTGCTGGTGGTGAGTCCACTGGAAGGTACCAACCTCCCTAACCATGATTCAAACTTGCCCAGGAGGTGAACCCTGGGGTTCCACACCAATGACAGAGACATTGCCTCTGGGCCAAAGTGCCACTGTTATTTACCTTTTAGTACCTAAAAGGCAGTACCTATATCAGGCAGACACACACTCAAAAACATATACTGATCATAGCATGCATTCCTCTCCAAAGGTATATAAGGAACATATGACATGGGAAAGACGTTAAAATCATTATTAAGGAAACATTTTTATATCATAGAGTAACATGATAAAGTCTAAAATATTTCTGTATAAATCCTAAATAAAATGTAGAGCAGGGCACCAGAGATTAAAACATCACTGGATGATGCAGAGCATTTTCTATTTTACATGAGAAAAACATTGAATAAATCAATTTTTGTTTTTCATATTTTTGGAACACTCAGCCAAGCTGATCTGACAAACTTCAGATCAAACGTCAGGTGTTCATTTACTGTGCCATAGGCCAAGGGTCAAAGTTCATACTCTTCGGCAGGCATCTGTCTGATGAGATTTAGTTGTTATGTTGTTACTATGATGGAAAGCCTGTCTGCTCCACAGAGAAAATTATATCTGTTTGGCAGCTGACCCGCTCCACTGTTAAAGTGAATGAACAAAAATACCACACCTAAGAAATTCCATCATCTTTTTTAAGCTGGCGACGAAATATCACTGACCAAATGTGAGCCAGTGTGTGTTGATTCTGTTCCCATGGTCACCTATAAACTGTCAGACTAAATCTGTCACAGCTCACCACACCTTATCTCACCTTATAAAGAGACGAATTCAGCTGTGTTTATGGATGCTTTCAATCTGCTGTACATCCTTATCTGCCATGGTGATCACACACACACACACATAGGTAAATATTTACCTGGTTTTACATCAGATGTATGTGTTTGATGTTACCCACCTTGCCTCACCCTTTGATGCAATGCAGCACACACACAAACTTTATTTAAAGCAATGATTATAAAGAGTCTTTATACACTCCTGCTGGCGGTGTTTTCATCAGAGAATTCGTCCTTTATTGACTTATGGAGGATGTATTTTGCACTAGGTCACTTCCTGATTCCTTGCCATATCTAAAAACTGTACTTAAGCAGTGGGGACACCAAACCATACTGTATTCAGTCATTACTCTTTTTAGCCTCTGTAATCGACCTGTTTTCCCCCTTCACTTTCGATTTCTAGATGTGTGCACTCCATGCTGAAGACTGGGAGAAGACGGCTTTGTCTACATTTGCTGGTTGTTGGCCATGTATTGGATTGGGCTGCTTTCTTTAGTTTTTGGGGTTTTTTGTGGACTTTTTGCCACTTGTGGCTCCAAAATGTTTCTATGATCCAAATTATAATGTCACCACTGTGTTAGCATAAGTGAGAGGTACATGGGTACATACATATATGTACAGTGGAACCTTGAGATACGAGCATTTTGAGATACAATCGGGCAATTTGTTGCTTCGAGATACGAGTAAAGATTTGTGATACCAGCACGCTTACAGACGCCGACAATAGGCCCACGCCATTTCATTTGTTCACTTCACCTGTTCGTCGACTTCTGTACTTCCATATTGTTTGCATTATCTACGTGATTTTCTCTTTTCTATTTTGCGCATTATTCTTCATCATAGTGATGAGTGAGTGGTAAGGATGGTGGTGAGAAGAAGAAACTCATGATGACCATGGAAATAAAGCAGGAAATTGTCAATAAATATGAGCAATTTTAAAAAAGGTTTTTCCCATTGTTATTAGCACTAATAAATGGCTGGAATAGATTAATTGTTGGGGTTTTTTTTTTTGTTATTTCTGGGAAAAATTATTCGAGTTACAAGCTCGGTCCTGGAATGGATTATGCTCATATCTCAAGGTTCCACTGCAGTGTGAATACAGTGAACAAAGAACAAGGGTTGGCCTGTCACACAGACGTGTAGAAACAAATTTGAATATCTCCTTGTGTTTGTGTTGTTGTCGTCTCAATCACTGATGTGATCCACAGTGATGTCAGAGTCGCTGTGTTACTCTTTGTGTTGCTCTTGTTTGTGAGATTGTAGTTTGTGATGCATTTGGGAGAGGAGTTGAGTGCACAGGGTGGTAAGGTATGAGATCCATCCAGATATGGACGTGTAAACAGTTGGTCACATGAATTAAAAAAAAAGAAAGGCAACGCCACGTAACACTGAAACGCTTTTATTGGCAGTAAAATTCTATCTCTTTCCAGATAGAAATGAAGAGTGTTTCTCTGACCTATACAGTAACAATAGTAGTGCAATAAATAAAAAAAAAAAACAAAGCTACAGAATCATTAAACAGCTGAATGCTCAGCATTCATACATTCACACATTCAATAGCAATAAATAAGGTCACTAAATAAATTACATTCTAACAAGGTGTGTGTGTTTTTTAAACGTAATCTAATGAAACAGTCTTTCAGTTCTACTTCTTTGCTTTTTCCTCACACTATCGTCAGCTTTGTCTTAGAGCCTCGGCAACTGGAAATAGAAAAAAAAGAAAAATTGGTTAGTGTTTTAAAGTAAACTTCACTCGAACATTAAAATATCAGCACACTTTGACATTAACATTATCAAATGATGCAGATTTTGTAGATTGAAATTGACAACAAACAAGATAAACAAAAAAAAAAAGATAATTCCACCTTGAGTGACTATTGTCAAATTGAAAGGTTTTTGTTCAAGGCTGTGTCAGAGCAGTAACTACCACTAAACTACTAAATGCTTCCTAAAGCACATCTGGGGACCCATATTTTAAAAGTCACAAACCTTTGTGACCCAAGTCAATAGACATTATTGGTAAACTCCTGGGAAACATGATGCAGGATGACCCAAAATCTCTTGCAACCCACCTGAGGGTTGCAACCGAGTCTTTGGGAAACAATGGTCTAGAGGTAATTTTATGTTTCTATTAGAAGTGCACAAACAAAAGTTAAGACAAGAGCACTGTTGCTGTTGTACAGACACCTTGAGTTATAGGTCACCAAGATGATCTATTTGACGTTTAATTTCAACATAAAAGTGTCATTTATTTCACCGTGACTGGATCATGTCTTTGATTGATAAAAAACATACAGTAACAAATGCAACAATCATTAGACTCATCTGATCAACTGTCAGACTGAGGGTTTATCTTAATGAAATGACAGGAATCCTGTGCAGCCACAGGATTGTTAGGAAACTAACAGTTCTGTGTGTGTGAACATGTGTGGGCTGCATGCAAGTGTGTGTGTGTGTGTGTCAGATTCTTACATTAAACTGAACATTAAAGCAAACCCTTTACTGCAAGTGTGTTAGTAAAGTTTGGTTTGGAATTGAAGGTGAATGTGCACGGTGGCCTGTGTGTGTGTTTGGTTTGTCTTCACACTGGCATGCAGTACTGTGACTTGGGTCAAAACACCTCTGGCTAATTCCTGCTAATTCTCCCTGTGGGGATTCTCCATAACCTGATGCAACATGCTTTATTCAACAACAACAACAACAAGACTCAGCTGTTTCTCTCTAAGCCTACTCTTTCCTGTTTGGCTTACAATTCACGTCATGTCTCACTGAAGACTTACGCAAATCTTTTTAAAAAAGAAATAACTTTACCAACACAGTTTTAGACAGTAAGACAGAGGACACTGTTGAATTCTACATAATCAGGAATCTGGATGAACCTACCAGATACTGTAGGTGTTAGTCTGCACGAATGCTGCCCTCTGTCTGTATTTTTTCATCTCTCTGTTTTTGTTTTCATTGTTTATGATATTGTAAAATATATATATTTTTTAGT